TTGGCCTCTCATTCAAAGGTCCCGGGTTCGAATCCGGGTAGCGACCGAAACATTTTCTTCTCTAAAAATTTTCTCATTTCCTGCTCTCTAGCAATGTTATGTTGTCTGCTTTCGTTTCCACTTTCTGCCCCCACCCCTTCACCTCCTTTGCCCCCTCCTCTGGGCTCCTGAATCTTTCTGCAGCCTTTCTACTGCTACTCCTTGGCTCCTCCTAACTGCTGTCTTTCTGCCACACCCCTGATCGTCTGGTAGGAAAGATCTACACCTAGCCTTCTCGAACAAAGGCGAAAAATCTCGGAAGGCCTGTGTGCAAGTTGCGCACGTTAAAGATCCCTTGGTGGTCTAAAATCGATAAGATTAGACTTCGGCCGCCACCAGGGCAAAATTCAAAATGTCCTACCAACTGAAAATATTAGGTGTATCCCGCGCGCTCATATGACCTTATGCAGTTGCTTGCGCCGTAAAAACACTTACCAAAACAAAACATACAAGTCTCTCTCTTGCCCTTTTTAACTTCCAGTGCTTCTTCTTTCGTATCGAACATCTGTCGTCCTTATCTCCCTTTCTTCTTGTTTATGTTTGTTACTCTCTTGTAACACCTCTAATCTTCTGGCACTCATAAGACCTTTTGCAGTTGCGAGGGCCGTAAAACCTCTACTAAAAAAATAGACCATCAACAACATTTCTCCAGCGACGCCTGTCCTGTGTGTCATTTTCTAACTGGGAACGCAAGAAACCTCAGTTCGATTCTCAAGTGGGAGAAGAAATTTTTGTGGGTAGTTGGCTGGTGCTCTGGTGTTGTTTTCTTCTTCTTTCCTATTAAACGTCTATCGTCCTTATCTCTCCTCCTTTTGTTTTTGGTGTTTGTTACTCTCTTCTAACACCTCTAATCTTCCGCACTTATATGACCTTATTGTGTTGCAAATGCCGTGAAACTCTTACTAAAACTAAAAAGTGTTTTTTTTCAAGTATCTGTCGGTCTTTCCGTTAGGACGTTGTATCATTCTTCTCACTTGTGTGGGATCCTTGGCGGTATGCACGGCACTGTACGGCACACCACATGAATAAATTGTTACCTGGGGGCTGGGCGGGGGTGGCAGGCTCGTGGACACTAGGGCGGGGGTCGTGTGTCTCGGTGAGTCGTTTGTTTTAGTAGAGGTTTTACGGCGCTCGCAACTGCATAAGGTCATATTATGAGCGCCAGAAGATTAGAGGTGTTACGAGAGAGTAACCAAAAAAAAAAGAAAAAAAGGAGGGGAGATAAGGATGATAGATGTTTGATGGTTGGCGGGTGCTTTGGTGTGGTTTGCTCCTTCTTTCCTATCAAACATTCATCGTCTTTATCTCCCCTCCTTCTATTTCGTGTTTGTTACTCCCTTGTAACACCTCTATTCTTTCGGCACTTCTATGACCTTATTGTGTTGCAAGCGCCGTAAAACCTCTACTAAAACTGAAACAAGATCTGTAACAGACATTGGCGATCATGGTTCTCCATTCATTCCTTTGCTCGTATTCTCTTAAAAAAGCTAGATTGTCATGATCTTTCCCGGTTACCCGTTTGTTTAGGTTCCCGAAGTAGGTTGCTCTGGGCCTTCCCCTGCCTCGTTTGCCTTCAATTTTGCCAGTGAGAGCTAGATGTTCAAGACATTTATGTCTGTTCAGGTGTCCCAAAAACTGCATTTGTCGAGGAGATATCGGTCACGTTAATTGATCACTTTTAAGCACAAGGTTGCTACCCCGAAAAATGCTGTTTTGGGAAAGTCTAAAGGTAAGATTTTTGGACACTTGTTCAGTTTCTTCAAAAGTCAAGGACAATTTATACACACCAATGAAACCCAAACTTCTCCTATAGGTAGGGCAATGTCCACTTTTGGTGCAGGTCACGATTTTTGGAAACCCCCGATATTTGGGTTAACCCGCTTGTCCTTAACAGTGACCTATTATTGGTGGTGTTTGATGTACGGCTTTTTTGTGTGTAGTACAATGTGGTCGATGCTTGTTACTGTCTGTTGTTATTCTCCCCCCTCTCTCTCTCTCTCTCTCTCTCTCTCTCTCT